CTTTGAAGAACAAGTTTAGCATTAATTTAGACACTTCCAGCAAAACAGTGGCTCTAAATGGACAGAATATGCAGCCTGAAGACTCTGCTGTGTATTACTGTGCCAGAGACACAGTGACACAAACAAGCAGCAGAGCTGTACAAAAACCCCTCAGAGCCTGAATGGTAGTTATATAGAATTACCAGAGGAGGCGCTCTAAGACCATTTTTTGTTGCTGTTTAATTTGAAAGAAAGTTTTAACAACAAGCTTTAAAGGTTGAGCAGTAATAATCATAATATATCAAAATATGATTATGTAGTTCCTTGACATACTGTAAAGTGTTTTTACATTATCTTGCAAATTAACAGTCTCTGCTGTGTATTTCTGTTTTGTCTGATTTGTAGTTTGTGTCTCCAGCATCAGTGTGATGAACACACTCTATGTTCTTCTTTTCCTCTTCTTACAATTGAGTTTACAAAACTCAATTTCAGAATAATCAACACACTCCTAGCAAAACAATACACATATATGGATTTTATTTACAATATTTTGCCAACTGTCTGGCACACTGTCACTTGTTTAAGATAAATAGTTCACTTTTCAATCAGCCTAAGCCCTATAAATAAGCCACAGGTGAGCTAGCTGCGTGGAGTTCAATGGAGGGAGGAATAAGAGTAAGGATTAGAGGAGGAAGAGGACAGGGAGGGGAAGGAGGAGGAGAAAGAGAAGAAGAAAAAGGAGACCAGATATGTCATCATATGGGACAATATCAGTTTTCATTGGGCTGCTTTTTTTATTGGCTTGGGAAAAAACCAAGAGAAAAGTTAAGCAAGATGTATTAGGTTTTGCAAGAGAACTACACTGTTTTGCTGATTTGGTGAAATGTTTTATTTCTGTCTAGATTTTTACAAAAAATAGCCAATAGTAACAAAACTTGCACTCAAGCCGTCAAAAAAAACCCCCAAAAGTCTACGTATTTAGAAATTGAGAATTTCACCTAAAAACATAATTTTATGTAACATTTTCAATGTCAAACAAAATACAGACTATAACTACTTATGAGACACTCAATTAATGTGTGATAGTGCTGACTTCTTTTAATTACAATGATGAAAAGAATACATTTCTAAATGATAACACTTGATGTCTGTTGAGTTTCAAGATATTTGCAAACATACTGTAAATCTAATAGAATTTATAAAATAAATCACAGTGACTTTTACAAACACATAAATATTGTACATCATGAACAGACATGATTTTGCTATTTCAATACATCAATAACCGTATTTATTGTCTTTAACATGATACATTGGAAATACAAAGAAGCACTGCAAAAATCCCTCAAAAAGTGATAAATGTTTTATTCATGAAAACCAGAAGAGGAACACCAGACCAAAACCACTATTCAGATTAATCTTTTTCGGTTTCATTTGTATGTTTGCTAAGCCAT